AAATCAAACTGAATTAAGACCAAATTTCATCATGATCAGATATCTTGATTCATTACACTGATTTAATAACAATCTACATAAAAAAATCACTATCCTACCAAATATCAGTATTTTACAACAACAACAACAACAATAATAATACTAATATTATTATTATTATTATTATTGTAGATGCTGTTATATAGTTGATATACAATTAGTTTCTGTTAATACTTCTAACTAGATTTTATTTTTATATTTTCTGTTTTAATTTTAATTTGTGGTTTTGCCATTTTTTATGATTTTTTTTTTTTAGAATTCATACATAGTTTCAGTTTTAATTTATTTTAATCTTTAATTTTATTTATTTTGATTTAAACATTGATGTATTTTATTTCATTTCAGGTAATATTTTGTTATATTTTATTATATTATTTATTCTGTTTCAAATAACAGTATTTATTTATGTATTTATTTACATTTTATTTATTTTTACTTGTAATGGCTTTGGTTTTAGGTTTAGTTAATGATAATAACCGCATCAAATATGCATTTAAAGACAATAAAGGGTTGATTTATGTTCTGCATTTCCTAAAATGTCAGCTTATTACTTTGATAAGCTAAATTTGTTATTGACATAAATTGGTGTTACTCGATGTTCACATTCTTTTGCGGTTTTGTTCATAATTTACAGTATGTAAATATTATATATACATAAAAATGCATTAATTACTAAAAAACACTCAATCTTAGAATTAGATGTTTGATCAATTAGTCAGATTAGATAATGTTAATCTTAAAAGAGAAAAACACTAATATTATTATTTAAATATTATTTCATTAATATTATGCTATCTGCAAGTACAGTTTAATACATTTTTTAAGATTTGAAGTACACTACAAGTGCAAGTTTAATCTTAAAAGAAAAAAAAAAAACAGGAAATCCAAAAAAATAAAAAAAAAAAAAAAAAAAAATTAAATCAAGAGATTTATTAGCTCTAACAAACATCAAGTTGATCACAGAACACACAGACTCCAGATATGTGACACATATTGCTCAACAAACGTGGCATGAATGCATGTGTGTTCAGAAACCTGCTCTAATGGCCAAGCAGCCCTTGCCTCAGCCCTGTTATTTCCTTATTTATTTATTTCTGATAGTTCCCGCAGAGCTCGCAAAATTAATGTCAGCCGGCAGAAAATAGACATCGAAAGCTAAAATTCAGCACTTTCTGCCCACAGAAGTTATTTGTCAAGTTAACAAGGAGGCGCCCCATTCCTGCGCCGCAGCCCTGGGAAAATATATGCCATCGAATCTGCAGCTTTGTGTACGGCGAGGAATAAGAGAATAAAAGCAAGGGATCGGTGGAGAGATGGAGAGAGGGTTAAGGATGCCACGTCCGTCACAGACACATTCATCCTTAGCCTGTCCACAGACGGATGAACTGACCAGAGAACAGACCACTGAGTCTGAAGAGACTGTAAAACATGTGTTATACAACCCCGTCAACAATACAGTTGTATAGTGTAATTAAAGCTACAAGCAGCGTTGAAAGGGCCCTCGCACCCGGAGCCACCTCCACCCAGTGGCTTTAGTAAAACTGTGAACGGTGGGCAATATGCATTTACAGTGGTAAATATAGGAGAAATATGTACAAGTAATTTATGTGTGCCGAACTTCCTGCTGCCAGCTGGTGGCGCTATGACTATAACTGAATATTGGCATGTTCAGGCCAGGACACTTATCAAACATGAAATTTGGGGCAGATTGGACATTACATATTTTAGATAGTGTAAAACAAGACATTTCCTGTTGCCAGCAGGTGGCGCTATGATCATAACTGAATATTGGCTTTTAGATATGTTCAGGCAAGGACTCTTATCAAACAAGTTTGGGGCAGATCGGACATTGTGTGGCTGCTTATAGCAACTTCCTCTTTCATGGTCTAAACATCGAAATTTGTCAGGCCGCCACGGACACGCCCTTCAACAAAAACTCAAGATCTTCGCAACTTAGCATCACAAAGGCCTTATGATTACACTTAGCAAATTTGAAGATGATCCGATTAAAACTGCAGGAGGAGTTTGTCGAGGCCTGAAAATGGCAAAAGCTGCACAAAAATCGTCCAGGAAATTCAAATTTGCTCTAAACAGCAACACTGCTGTTCCCTCGGGATCTCGCCTGAAGACTGCGTTGAGCTGAGTGTTTGTGTCGAAATGTGCTGCTTGTCTGAAATGAGTCGCACGTTCATTTTGTTTTTATCGTTATGTGAAATAGGATAGAGGGTAAATGACAGATGAGGTTCAAATCAGTTCAAAGTCTCGGTCAGAACCAGATTTGTGCCTAGGTCGTAGAAATGTAATATTTGTATTCATGTTCCATACATTTTTGGAAATGTTTGCTTTTTATTAATCTGAATACAAGTTTTTATTTAATGAGTCTAAATATGTTGAGTGGTGTAATCAAGTAAAATATACAGTAATACAGAAAATAATAGTTTCTTTATACCTAAAATAATAGTTTCTTTATAAATCAGATTACGTATTATTATTATTATTATTATTATTATTGTTGTTGTTTAATCATTTTTTTTAATAAAATTATTTTTTTATAATATATATATATATATATTTCATAAATGTTACATTTTCTTAGGGTTATTCCATTTGACATCCTCAACTAAGCTCCTTATGTCATAAAAACTTCAGATTTTTGAGACTTAATGACCTTGACATGTTGTCTCTGGAATGTCATTTTGTGCTTTTCTTGCCACATGACAGCAATGTTTGGTTATTCCAAACTGACTGAATAAAATGTTAAAGCAAATAAATACTACACTCCCTCCCAATATAAGATGATTCAAGTAAAGTAAATATAAATCTACATTTATTTTAATTCCTGACCTTTTTTTTTTTTACTTTAAGTCCTCACAAAACAAAATACATAAATATACACCAAAATAAATCTAAAAAATTACAAATTTTATTTCGTTTTTACGTTACATTTTATCTTTCTTTTTTTTTTTACTTTAGAATGAATAAATATAAATAAATAAATAATTTTAATTCAGAAAATTCAGAGGATGCTCATCAAAGAAAATGCATTACATTAAATACACTATGTATGTATGTATTTATTTATTTAACACAAGACATACAACCCTACAGAGAGAATGTTAGAGGAAAGACCAAGGGCAAAAAAAAAAGAAGAAAAAAACATGGCGGTTGAAGGAGAGAGAGAGAGGATGTATGCTACAGGCTACAGGAAGTATTAATGACTTGGAGTGCTGCACTTTGGTGGAAGTATAAGCGCTTTGATCAGAGAAATCCTACAAAAACAACACTAATAATAATAATAATCTCACAAATATAAAGACAATTATACAAGAGACGGTTAAACCGTTAAACGATGGTAAAACCCACAGCACAGTGAACTTCTCCAATTATTCGTTTCTGTCAGACTTTTCCTGTTGTTTATTGATGTTAAATGAGCACGTGGCGGGACATTTTTTTTTCTTTTGGGCCTGAAGCGAGCCGTAGGTCAGCGGGGATGAGAGCGGGCAGCACAGAGCCCTCTCTCCTTGAGTCTGGGTGTATTTTTAACCACACGGGTTGAGCGGGTGTCTTCAGGAGGTGCTGCTAAATATAACTCATATCCTTACTGGCTTTGGTTACATTCAACATACGAACACACACACACACTTACACAGCGGACGGTACGGGGATACAGAATGAATTTGTGCACATGCTCGCATAAATCGTTTCAAACAACAAGTAACAAAAACAAAATCATGTTTAACAATCGCTAACACATCCGCTGACGTCACAAAAGAAAGTGTCTCCGTACGCAAATAAGGCAAACATGGTGTGCACTTCCTGTGCCTTGATTGTGACCTCACCTTTGTGTTTCATTACACCGGAAATCTGCGGCTGAATGCTGGCGAATCAACACAGAACATCGATACTGTCCTATCAGATTCACCCTCAGCTAACTAGAACACGCAGCCACCCCCCCAACACACACACACACAATTAAGACACTTTTTTATGGATGGGCGATTTTTTTTAAGTTCTTTTGGACTGAAGCAATGCAACACCCGCTGAGTGCCATTAAACAGCTTGAAAGATCAAAGACTATTTTTAATATAACTCCGACTGGATTCGTCTGAAAGAAGAAAGTCATATACACCTAGGATGCCTCGGGGGTGAGTAAAGCGCAGCCTAATTTTCATTTTTGGGTGAACTAACCCTTTAAGTCTTATAGACAACATACAATGGTTTTTCATAGTAAACTTACTATAACGCAACCCAATAAATCTGAACAAAAACCTATTTTCATCAGTAGATTTAACTCAAAACAAAACAATATGTCAGGTTTTAGTATATTATGGAGGACATTTTTTGGTAGCCGGCCAGTTTATGTTGGGATAACCAGTGACATGATCAATAACACACTGTTACAACACACAAAACACACTTAACAAATGCTCTGTCGCTGCAGGCAGACGTTACACTGTGACCGTCGACAAACTCGCCTCGCAAAACTTCCAGCCCTAAACATCATAAACGAGCCATTGTGTAATTATAACCTGCTAGTCATTGGATAGTAAGTCCACTGGTAATTAGTCACTAATTCCACTGCATTCACTCTACAGTATAAATACACTATATATGAGAGTATGAATCAAACAAATGATAATGTACGATTTATAATCAAAAATGGAAATATCCATTATAATTGAATTTATAATTAAATATAAATATAAAAATATAAATATTTATGTATCATGTATAGTGATTTAATCTTCAAACACGTTTCTAAATGTTAATTTTAATTCACTTTATCTAACTTTTAATAATGCTAGGTTCAGTTTCTGAACCGCAGAAAATCTTTGCGACAAGCTGTGAAGTCTAAAAATCACATTTTTTCATACAGAAAAAAATCCACTATGATTAAATATTCATAAATGAGGATTATAATCATTTTCATCTGCACAGAATAAAAAAAGCTCTGCGCTTACCTCAGACTGCAGGGGCAAAGGGCAGGGGTCAGAGGTCGTATCACAGGTGTAGAAACTTTCTTGATGTCCTTCCATGATGAACAATATGAGCAAAAGGCAGAAAAAGAGGAAAAAGAGGCTTAATATGATACCATAAAATAATCATAACTATTTGACTATTTATCAGATACAATTAAATGTAGGCTAGTTTCTTGTCTGAAACAAAATAATTACAAGAATACAGGTATAGAGGTGTTTATATATATATATATTAAAAATATATATTTAAACATTTAAAAAATGACTGTATAGACCTTGTTATACGTCATTACACTTTAGAGATATTATACATAAAGCATACCACGCATAAAAAAAACTATGAAAGCAATTAATATGCAAACTGCGATGTAACTAACACTCTTCTTTCTCATATACTCTCACGTGTAGTGCTTCTGTTAAACAAAGTTAAAGTTAGCACCACACATCCCCTACAGAGCACTGCTGCCACTGAAAAAAGCCTGTTAAATCCCTCGACCCAGTTCAGTTCACAAAGCCATTCATTCTGTTCTGTAATCACTGCAGGCCGGGCTGAGTGAACTCTCACCTCACACCACAGCACAGCAGATATGTGTGTAAAGTATTAGAGTAAAGTATCAACAAACTCTAATATCTATCTGGTACAATCTTCACCTCAGGATGTGGACAACGCTTAAAAGCAGCAATAACAGCTTTAAAAGAAATAGCTCAACCCACACCTGCCGCGTTCATGACACCCATGAAAACTTTGATGATGTGCAGCTGAAGTGCAATCGATGCTACAATAGAAACCGCACGCGCTTCGTCGAATGTTGTTTGTATCGTCAGACGTACACATTTGACGTGCTTTGAAAACACTTTTCTTGTTACAGTCGGGATCACTAATAGTTACGCCCCCAACATTTGCATATACCCGCCCATGTTCTATGCCATGCCATCGAATAAAATAACGCGAGCCACTAAAGGGACATGATTAGCTGCTTGCTAGCGGTAGCCTGTTACATTACAGTACATAAGATTTCACTTACCACATAAACAGAGTAAGGAGAGATGACTGAGGATGATGGCGAATGATTTACAGATCCTGAGCACCACTGACAAGCATCTGATCTTGTAAAATGTGTGGGAAGTACTGCCGCTGTAGTTTACACAGAGCACGTGCGATCGCAAATCTCGAAAGTGAAAGTAAAACGCGATCATGCATTCGCAAGCAATGCCCCGCATATTAATAGCGGCTCCCTGATGTCCGCATTTTATATACAGTATAATTACCCAACAATATAACTGCGAGAGAACATATTGAAATATATATTTTCCCTGTGTTTCCTTCCTGCTGTGTGAGCTACTGAAATGAGCCGCACTGCGAAACAGCCAATCAGAGCAGAGCTCAACATTATTATTCATGACCCTTCCAAATAAGGTAAAAACAGACCATTTCATTCTAGG